CTAAACTATTTTAGAGCCTGATTTCTGTAAATTAAATATTCTTCCAATACTTAAGGGGCTGTCACAGAGAAGAGGGGGATTGATTTATTCACCGAAACACCAGAAGGCAGGACAAGAAAGAATGGATGGGAACTAATCAAGGAGAGAAGCAACTTGGAACTAAGGAGGAATTTTCTGACACAGAACAACTCATCCATAGAACGGTTTGCCTCCAGAAGTTGTCGGTGCAGCAACACTGGAAGTTTTCAATAAACCAAAAAAAATCATTTGATCAGGATGATGATGATGATTATCAGAATGATGACCAGGATGATTCTGCTCGCAACAGAATACCCTACAGCACCAGGCTTGAAAGTTTGGGCTTGGACAACCTTGAACTACACCGCCTACAGCTGGACTTAAGCATAGTACACAAAATTATCTGCTACAATGTCCTACCAGTCAATGACTACTTCAGCTTCAACCACAGCACACAACAGATACAAACTCAATGCAAACCGCTCCAAACTTGATTGCAGAAAGTACGACTTCAGCAACAGAGTGGTCAATGCCTGGAATGCCCTACCTGACTCTGTTTTTACATCCTCTAACCCCCCCACTCCGTTAACCTCCAACTATCCACTATTGACCTCACCCCATTCCTAAGAGGTCTGTAAGGGGCCGTGTATAAGTGCACCATCGTGCCTACTGTCCCCGTCCTATTGTCCCCATTTATTCATACCTATTTCCTGTATTCTTACTCATGTTTATACTTATACCTATCATCTCGTGATTGACAAATCAAATCAAATCAAATACAAATCAAATCAATAAATTCTCCTGCTTTGAGTAAAGGTTACATTAGAAGACCTCCAAGGTCGTTCAGGCTTTAGGATTCTATGAAATCTATGACATATTCATTTGGGATTGTCTGGGAGAAAAACGGTTCCCTCCCCCCTAAATGAATTAACACTGGAGGAGGGGGAGCCATAACTGGATGGCCAGGATTACGGGATTATTTTGCTGACGGCCGAGTCCCTTTGTGGCTGGCCACTTAACTTGAACAACGTTGGAAAATCCTGTTAGTGAGAATTGCAAGTTTAAGGGGCTGATCTTTGGGGCGTCTTGGCAGGAGATAAAGTATAGGTAGTCCTCGACTTATGACCACAATTGAGCCTAAAATCTCTCTTGCTAATCAAGACAGTTGTTACGTGAACTTTGCCTCATTTTACGACCTTTCTTGCCACAATTGTTAAGTGAATCACTGCAATGGATGCTGCAATGGTCGTAGGTATGAAAAACGATCCTAAGTCACTTTTTTCAGTGCTGCTGTGACTTCGGTCAGTAAATGAACTGCTATAACTCAAGGACTATGTGTAGTAGGAAAAATCCAGAGATTCTTTTCCAGGCCCCCTGAACCCCAGTTGGCCAAAATCCTGGCTTAAGGTCAGACTCCTCACACACACACACACACACCCCACAATTCCACAATTTGGCTCTTTTCCAGAGTTCACTCGTGCTGCATTCTAGCCCAATGAATAATCCCTGCTACCTGTTTATGGTTTCTATGGCTGGCAAATGTTTTGGCTACTCTGTTTATTTTAAAATGAAAACAATTGTGAACTGACAGCTGAAAAAGGCAATATTGTCTTCGAGATCAACGTGGTGACAACTTGGACAACGCCCATGTTTCTGCACAACACGGGGAAGAAAGATTTGCTATGGCCGTATTCTGGACTGTTTTTCTCAAATTCCCAGTCCAGTTTTCAGCCCTTCTGAAGGTCTTTCGTCTAATCGGGCCTGGCCTGTTCAAGTTTTTAACTGAAACAAGGTCGACTATCTTCTGTGCCTTCCCACATTCTTAACATCGAATGAAAAGAGTTGTATTATAAGACAGGCAACCAAAGAAACAGGTTTCAACTCTTCTAAATCAAAATTCTTTGGAAAAACGCTTAGGAAGAAGGCTGCAAAACCTCAGCAGCAGAGGCGTGCTGTGTAAACAAGCTGGTTAGGGTGCACTGCCTTGCCACAGCCCGTCCGAAAAGGTTTGGCAATGTTTGAATGTTGGATGTTGCTTTGGGAGTCAAGTCGAGGAGAACTGGTTTTTCATCTCTATTTTGGACAAGGTGCTTAAGATTTTGAAAAGGAGCTAAACAAACTCAAATCAACGTGTCTAAGCCCAACATACCTCAGCTCCCCGCCCCCCAATTACATCGGTGGAAATAAAAGTCTTTTTCCGCCGTCAGTTTTCTGTGTTTCTATAAATGGGACATGAAGTATCCAGGCACCCGAGTAAGAAAACTGATTTCTAAAAGAGAGACTTTCAGACCTGAGAGCAATAGCAGAGCTTCAATCATCACGGCCAATTGGATCTAATGTTTAAGGTATCAAAGCTAGAAAGCAGGAGACCATGAATTCTAGTCCTGCCTTAGCTATGAAAGCCAGCTGGGTGACTTTGGGCCAGGAGATGGCGAGTTCTGGTCCCGCTTTGAGCAGGAAAGTTGGCTTGGGGACTTTACGCCAACCAGCAGGTGAGTGGCAGTTTTAGTCCCACTTTAGGAATGAAACTCAGCTGGATGACTTTGGGTCAGTCACTCTCCCTTAGCCCAACCCACCCGACAGGGTTGTTGTTGTGGGAAAATAGGAGAAGGAAGGAGCACAGGTAGTTGTCAACTTACAACAGTTCATTTGGTAACCATTCAAAGTTACAACTACATTGAAAAAGTGAGTGACATCCGTTTTTCACACTTACGACCACTGCAGCATCTCCGTGGTCACATCAAAATTCGGGTGCTTCCAACTGGCTCATATTTATGACGGTTGCAGTGTCCCAGGGTCATGCGATCCCGCTTTGTGACCTCCTGACAAACAGTCAACAGGGAAGCCAGATAGCATAAGAATAGCAGACTTATATAACGCTTACTGACCCAGGCTTCCTGAGACCGTAATTAAGCACACGCTTAGTCCAAACAACTCTTGTTTTATTTCAGCGCTGGGAATTATGTGCATTCCCAGCCTGTACTGAGTCCCTCGAGATAAGCACCCACTTTTATCTCCTTTGAATTGCTGCCGGCAACAAAAGTGCCAAATTAACTACGTATATATACCGAAGTACAAAGTCCACACAGACTTTCAAGGATTAATCCAAACAGAATGAACAACTTTGCTTCCTGCAAAGGTTTCTCTACTTTGCCAAGCCTCACTCCCAAGTTGCCCCTTTTGTCTCAGCTGCTCTTGCCTTCTAGCAGCTCTGCGCATACACACACTGGGAACAGGCTCCCCTTGTTCCTCTGCCTCGCTGCTGACAGATTCTGGAGGCTCCGGAGTCAGCACATAACTCCCAGATGGTCCTGGCCCCATCTCTGCATCGGATGCAGAACCCTCGTCCGAGTCCTCCCCAGACTCCTGGACTGGTCCCCGTTCTTCCCCACTGTCCGATTCTGCTACAATCTGCACAGGCTGCCGGCGAACCACAACACTGCTTCACATTGCTTTACAGGCCTCTCTAAGCAGTTTACAGAGTCGGCACCTTGCCCCCTCAACAATCTGGGTCCTCGTTTTACCGACTTCGGAAGGACGGAAGGCCGAGTCGACCTGGAGCCAGTGCGAATCGAACCCCTGGCAGTCGGCAGAGTTAGCCTGCAATGCTGCATTCTAACCACTGTGACACCATGGCTCCTGCACTGAACAAGCGTGTTACTAACTTAATAACGGCACTGATTCACTTAACAACTGTCGTTAAGTGAATCGATGTAGTTCGTAAAATGGGACGCTGAACTGTCTCACTTAGGAATGGAAATTTTGGGCTCCACTGTGGTCATAAGTCGAGGACTACCTGTATTAGGTCCGTCCGCGGCCTTGAGTTATTTGTAACAATAATAAAGGCAGGATACAAGTCAATCAATCAATCAATCAATCAATCAGCTTAAAGGGATTCCCAATAGAAACCTCACATCGCTCTCCAGTTGTTGTGTTGGAAAGATCCCTCCGTGGTAGATCGGTAACGGCAGCTCCGGCCTCCTCGTCTTTTCTCGAAGTGGGGGGGCAGCGGGGGTGGGATCAGGCTCTTTCCCAAGCCAGCGTCTCGTCTCCCCGTCCCACCCCCGGCCATCCAAGGGTGGAAATGCAGAGCTGGACCTGAAGCGAAGAAGAATCGGAAGGGGAAAAGAAGCCACAAGGCCGGGATCTCCGTCCAGGGCGGTTGGTGGGGGGGAGGGGTGTCCATCGAAGACCGACTCAAAGGGGTCGTTTTGAGGGTCATTTAGACAAGGCCGGGACCTTGTTAAGCTGGTCCGGCGTCTTGGGGGGGGAGTCGACGGCCCTGGAATTTTTGAGGCCCTGTTTTCAACCGCCCCTCTGGGGGGAAAAACCGGGTGGGCCGGTTTTTGGCTGGCGTTTTTTTTTTTTTTCCCTTCAGCCCAGCCCCACCTCGCAGGGGTTGTGGTTGTTGGCAGAGGGAGCCTCCTCTACTCCATCTTAGGCAATAAATGCGCAGTAAATAAAACATCGAACTCGCCATTAAACCACGGGAAGGAGGGGGGGCTAATTTGACCAAAGCGGGTGTGTGTGTGTGTGTGTGTGTGTGTGTGTGTGTGTGTGTGCCACAGTTGCTTGAGGTTTGGGTTCTTGGGCCCAAAGACTTAAGGGTGGCGAAACCAGGCCGAGGAGGCCCAGCTTGCCAGCCCCGCTCGGTCGTGGGTCTCTCATAAAGAGCCTGGCCTACAGCGCAGGGTTGTGGTAGTAGCAAATCACAGTTCAGACAAGTCCAGTCCAGTTTCAGCCACTTCAGCCAAGAGGATACAAAATGAAGTCAAAGGCCACGCTCTTTTCCACTCGGCCCCTTTTGCTTTCCCGCGTGGAGGATTCGCGCGCCCCACGCCTCAGCAAGACCCCCCACCGCCACAAAAACTGGTCCCTCCGGCGCATGCGCGGTGGAAAAACACGAGGGTGGTGGGGTGGGAATTTTTTGACCCGCTGGGCTCGCCGTCCAACCCCTCCCGTCTTTCTCCCCGTTACTTTCACGCATGCGCGCCCTCCGCTTAGCCCGGAAGCGGAAAGTGTTCCTATCTCACCGCGCCGGAGTCGTTCCCCAAGCGAGCGGCGGATCCATTGCAGCGGCATCATGTGAGGGAGGCCGGGGGGGGAGATTAGGGAGCGCGGGACGGGGGGTGGGAGACGGAGCTGTCCCTGTGTGTGTGTTTGTGCGGTTGTGTGAGTGTGTAAAATACTTACAGAGGCTTCTTCTGGGCCTTACCGTAAACCTTGGAATAGGCGCCCCTCTCGAAAAGCCTCTCCCTCTCGGCTCTCTTCTGGAGTAACCGCCGAGGTTGGGGGGGGGGAGAGGAAGGAGCCCCTCCTCTGGCTTTATGGTATGCCCTCCCCCCCCCAAAATATACAATGAGTGTGTATCTTTGTAGTTGGAAACTAGAGAGCAAGGGGACCCCAAGCAGGCGAATAGTAGTAATAACTTTCTATTGTTATTCTGAAAAGCCGGTTTATATCTGTAGTCCGGTGATTTATACATGTTGCATCTGGATGGTTAATTGTTCTACATTTAGAATATATGCAGAATAGAAGTTGGTTAAAAAAAAAGAATTTGTTAAAAGAAAGAATTGATTTGTTAAAAAGGAATAATTTGTTAAAAGAAAGCACTGATTTGTTAAAAAGAAATATAGTGCTACTAAGAGAGCTTATTTTCATCCAATTAAAGGGCATAACCTCAAAATCGAATATTATGTATTTATTTTCCTTTTTTTTTTTTTTCTTTTTTTTTTTTTTTTTTAGGAGCCTCTTAAATAAGCCCAAAAGTGAGATGACCCCGGAAGAACTGCAAAAGCGGGAGGAGGAGGAATTCAACACAGGGCCACTGTCGGTGCTCACACAATCCGTTAAAAATAATACCCAGGTGCTCATCAATTGTCGCAATAACAAGAAGCTCCTGGGGCGTGTCAAGGCCTTTGATAGGTAGGTTCTCACCTGGGCATGCCTCCAATCCGTCAGAGGATTATCTGTGGGCTTCCTTTATATTTTTAGTGAAACAGGTAGTGTTCTCGTTCGTTTAAGGTTTATTATTCAGAACAAATACAAGGGGGTCCACAATTTATTTAATGACCATTCAAAGTTACAATGGCATAATTGTAATGAAAAAAGTGACAACTGCTTTTCACACTTAAGACCATTGCAGCATCCCTTCGTAATCAGAATTTGGGTGCTTGGCAACTGGCATGTACTTACGACAGTTGCACTGTCCCAGGGTCATGTGAATCACCAATTGTAACTCTCCCAGTTGACTTCCAACTAGTCAAGTCAATGGAGGAAGCCAGATTCGCTTAACAACAGCATGATTCATTTAACAACTAGTGATTCACTTAACTGTGGCAAAAGAGGTCATTAAAAAAAGGGGGGCGCAACTCACTTTACAACTGTCTTCCTTAGCAATGGAAATTTTGGGCTCAGTTATGGTTGTGAGTCGAAGACTAGCTGTAGGCGGCTATGGGGTTCCCGAGAAGTAAAGGTGCTTTGGACCCTGCATAGACAGTACACAACTGTCAGTGGCCCCTTAAAGAACAGGTGCTTTTCCTGGGCTCAGGTGGGGTTCCTATGGACTGCAATAATATGTCTATCATGAATTCCCAGGGAAGCTCGTAATTCCTTTAAGTAGCTGCCAGGGTGGATAAAAATATTTTTTTTAAAAAAAATATATAAAAATTTAAATTGGATTTTTAAAATCAAATTTATTTTAATAATAAAATGCTTTTGGAATAAAATATAGTTTTCTATTTAAAATGCATTAATAATTTAGTTTATTCATCATGAAATGGAGCTTAGTTATGTAGCATGAGGCTGTATATTCTGCAATATTGGGAATGTTGGTGAGTCAACAGCGGATCAGAGATGTCAGTTGCACTTTTAAAATTATGATTTAAATTGAGTTGATTTAAATCAAGCCCTTTTACTAGTGATTTAAATCTTGATTTAAATCAAATCCACCCCTGGTAGCTGCCAGTGGGTAGCATGAACACCTTGCGCAATGGATTCAAAGACCTGTTTCAGATCAGAATATTTTTTCAGCCTTGAATTCTGTGGGGATCTACCTCTCTCCAGAACTTCCTCCAGGGTGGTTGCGAAGTTGCCAGGAGCCGCACAGGGAATCTCGCCTCTGCGTAACGCCAGGCACTTTCTTCCACCAGGCACTGCAACATGGTGTTAGAGAACGTCAAGGAGATGTGGACCGAGGTGCCCAAGAGTGGGAAAGGCAAGAAGAAGTCCAAGCCGGTCAACAAAGACCGTTACATCTCGAAGATGTTCCTGCGGGGAGACTCGGTCATTGTCGTGCTGAGGAATCCCCTCATTGCTGGCAAGTAAACAGGCTGAGGTGGCTCACAAGCCTGGCAATGCCAAGATGCCACGTTTCTCAAAAGACTGGAATCTTCTTGCCTTTAGTTTTAAGGCGGGGATATCTTATAGTCAACCGTCCTTCCGATGTTTCTTGTGTCACAAGTGTGCAGTTCCGTGACGTGTTGATGCATGAAATTTCTCCCGTCAATTCAGTACCATGTGGGATTTTGATTCCCCCCCCCTCTTCTTTTTATATAATAAACATTTTGTTGAATTTGTTGGATTGCTTTTTTTTTTGGCTGTTGCTACAGGCGTTTCTGCCTAGTATTTCATGATGTTGGAGAGAGTTATATTTATGAATAACTTGAGTTTCTCCCGTCTGGTGCTGTATGATGGTTAGATGTTAGATAAAACTTATTTGCACTTGGAGACAGTACAATTTTATCGTATTTCTGACAGGGCAAGTAATTTGACCTTCTCTCCTCTTTTGTCTTCACCACCTGGTTACGCAGCATACCTTAAAAGATTCTTGGATCAAACCAAATGAAGAGTAGTTTTTGCAATCAGATGCCTCTTGCTTTCTGTTTTCTGCCCAGCTGTTTGAGACTGACTACGCAAGCCTACATGTGTTTTCATTCAAAGAAAATAAGTATTTTTAATCCTGTGAATGCTCTCTTCTTGCCTTACTAAATGCATATTTTAAATACCACTGATAAGGAAAGCAGGATCTGTTTTCTAATTCCAGCATTTTCCATTAAATACTATCACCTCCCTGATCAAACCCTAACACCAACAGGAAAAAAAAAACCTATCCTAATCCCAGATCTCTAGCTGTAAGGGCTGAAAATGGTGAGGCAAGAAATAGTCTAAAACAGAATAATTAGGTAAATACCAAGCATGTTTCTCTAATTCTCAAGGGGGGGAAATGGTAAAAATTGATTCACTAAAAAGGCAAAAGATTTAAACCCTCGTCTCGCACACAAATACATATAGTTTGATTTCTACTATCTGTAATAGATTTAATATAGGACCTTGTTTGCAATAAAGCAACTGATCTGAGTTTTTGATTCGGTAAGCAAGTACATGATTTATGGGCTTGAGTGTCTGGAGAACAGATTTATTATGTCTGGTATGAAGTCTGATATCCCAGTATCATAAATTTATCACAAATAACTTGTTAATTTACCCCTAACATAGTCTCAGAAGTGAATTGGAGTTGGGTGGCAATAAAAAATAAAACAAATGTAAATTTAAAATCATAAAATATTTTAAGATTTGACGTGTTGTAGAAGTCACTATTTGTAGCCAAATTTACCATTTTTTTCTTCAGTATGAATTTGTGTGTAAACGTGATTTCTACTACAATTCCTCAAGGTCCTGCAATTCCCTGGGTTTTTTCCCTACTTTCTTTTCCATGGTGTGTTGTCTGTTCTGCCATGAGTGCCTTCTCCACCCAACAGGAGAGGGTTAACATGAGCTAACCTCTAGGCCCAGGGGTCGTTTTCTTATTCCACCCAAGCTCGGTGCAATTTTCATTCCCCCCCAGCCTCTGAAAGTGTCTTCATATTGCTTCCATATCGGATCTTTTTACCCCTTCATGCATCCTTCGGTGATGTCTTTTGGAACTTCAACCATTACATAAAGACACATTTATTTTAAAAATATCAATTATCTCCCAGGGAACATTCAGCTGAATACATCGAGTAAAATCCTACAGTCCTACGGGGAGTAATTCTGTAGAGGGACAGGTGGCTTTTTCGGAAGGGTCTTGGCAGGACTATGGTTGAGGTGCCCTACAGTCTTTTCATCGCATGTGGGAGAATGAAGATAGAAATATGGAGAAGTACTTCCACCCTGCATTTCTGGAAGCGATACAAATTGTGTCTTTACACAATGAGATCAGTAGCAGGGTTTGCCATTTACTCAGTGGTATCCAACCTTGGTCACTTTTAAGACTGGTGGACTTCAGCTCCCAGAATTCCTCAGCCAGCCTTAAGGAATTCTGGGAGTTGAAGCCTACCAGTCTTAAAAGTGGCCACGGTTGGACACCCGTCTTAGAACATGTCCTTACTCAGCACCTACTCAGTAAATGCAACTCATCAACAGCTATGCGATCCAGAAAGCAAATGTTTGGTTTTTCAAGAAGTCTATACTTAGTTCTAAGGAAAGTGAATCCAGTCCAGTGTTCTTGGTGCAATTTGGAAAAATAATCAGGCGGTGATCTGTAAGTTGGTCATTGGCTGATGCTCAGCGTTTTCCTTCATAGCTACGACAGCACAAAAAAAGATAATATTTTCAGGTCTTCCTGCCCCCTCTTGTGGAGAGAAGATTAATGGCTCCAATGTTTTCTTTCCGATTTGAAGAATGGTGTGACTTTCCTCCCAAACGCTGGATTTCTAAATTCACTTGCCTGGCAGGAAAGTGTTATGAAGCGGTGGCACCCCTAAACGGTTGGCGGCCATGGTCCCAGATGTGGCGAGCGGGCCGGAGCCGCAGATGCAGAGGAGGGTGCTTTCGAAGGCGTCTCGGAAGGATCGCATGCGGAAGACGTAAACCACCGGGTTGATGGCAGAGTTGGCGTGGGAGAGGATTATGGTGGCCAGGATCAGCTGGTTGGGGATGCAGCATTTGGGGCAGAGGAGCATGATGGTGTTGAGCACGTGAAGCGGCAGCCAGCACAGGATGAAGAAGAAGAGGATGATGAAGAGCGAGGTGGCCGTCCGCATCTGCTTGCGGACGATGATCCGGCGTCTCCTCTGAGCGCTGATGTTGACCTCCCCTTCGGCCACTTTGCGGATCTGGCGCCTGACCTCCAGGAAGATGCGCCCATACAGTATCAACATGACCAGCAAGGGGACCAGCATGCACGTCATGAAGTTGAAGTAGACCATGTAGGTGTTGGTGATGACGCTGTTGAAAAGGCACTCCCTGCTGGGGGGCAGCGGGTGGTGCCAGCCCATCAGAGGCACCAGGCCGGTCAAGATGGACAGCAGCCAACAGGCCGCAATCACCAGCAGGGAGTTGCGGGGGGTCAGCAGAGACTGGTACTGGAACGGCTTCAGGATGGAGATGTACCGCTCCACAGCGATGGCCAGCAGCCCAAAGATGGAGGCCTGGGTAAACATCAGGAGCAAACAAAGCATCAGGAGGCACAGCTGGGGCCTGGCCTGCGGGTACCCCACCTCAGTGAACTGGGCGCAGGGGATGACCACCGCCCCGACCATGAAGTCCGCCACAGCCAGCGAGATCAGGAAGTAGTTGGTGACGTTGGAACGCAACTTCCTGTTCCACAAGATGACCGTACAGATGAACAGGTTGCCTGCGATGGACAGCAGAGCAGTCAGGCTGTCGCTTAGCAAATAGGGGATGTCCACAACAGGCGGGGACGTCGTCTTAGCTTCGAGAGGGCACTGAGGCAGCTGAAGGGAGGATGAGTTCTCCACGCTATCCATTATAGGAGGGGGGCCATTTGGATGCGGTCTTAAGGAGAGTCTTCCCTTCCGGTTTCTGAAACTCTGAAGGTCGTTGTCCCATCAACTTCCATGTTTGAGGAAAGGGAGGCTCGGTGAAATGGGGTCGGGGAGGAGGAGAATACGCCGCTGAGAATTCCGTCGGGTTCCTCCGTCATGCTGGCTTGCATTAGCCAAGTCTGTGAATCAAAAACATTTAAATCGTCCACTTGTACAGGAAGGAAACAAAGGTGCTGTATTTTGGGGTCCTTGGTGCTCTCTGAGCTTGGCGGCTTCCTTGCAGACATTTCAGGACCCAACTAGCTAACACCATCAGTGCTAGAAGAGAGTGGTGTTTGTGGAAAGGAGGAAGAGGGGGAGGAGGACTGGGGGTTCTTGGTGCTCTCTGAGCTTATTTTCTTGCAGGCATTTCATTACCAAACTCAGCAACATCATCACTGCTAGAAGGGAGTGGGGTTTGTGGGATGGAGGAGGAGGGGGGAGGCTGCGGGGTTCTTGATGTTTTCAGAGTTTGATTGTTTTCTTGCAGATGTTTCATTACCAAACTAGATAACATCATCACTGCTAGAAGGGAGTGTGGTTTGAGGAAAAATGGTGGAGGAGGAGGACTATGTGGTCCTTGGTACTTTTCCTTTTCTGAGCTGGGTTATTTCCTTGCAGACATCTCATTACCAAACTAGTTAACATCATCAGGACTACTAGCCCACAGTCCAACCCTGAGCTGCAAATATTCTCTTCTATCGGAAAGTGACAGCAATGTTTAGTCTTATAAAAGCAAGAGCTGAGAATAGCACCCTCGACTTTGGAAAGTAAATACTCCTTGCCAAGAAGCAAAAAGGGAGATGTTTTCTTTGGAAGACCCTAATCAAAGCTGGCTGACTTACCTACAGATCCCTGCTGTCATTCCCCCAACGCAAAGGGATGCCATCGGAAGCGAGAAAAGACGCCTGCAAGCCTTCTAAAATCACTTCTGGAGCAATCTGGTCCAACCCCGACTCATTTCTTCCTCTGCTGCCTCTGCCTTCTGATGTTTATGAAAATGAGATCTGATAAGTCGCAGTCGGCATACAAAAGCTGCTGCATTTCGTACAGAAAGGGATAGAGCAGAAAGGGCCAGGCAGCCAAAAGAAGGTCTGCCTTGCTGCAACTAGAAAAGAGAATGGAAAAGAAGAAGAAGCGGAACCACTGCCAGATGCATTTTAGATTCTCTGGGATGAGACCTGTAGTAAAGCTGCTATCATGTTGCAGCCCTGAATGGGGTGTGTGTGTGACAGCAACAAAGCAGGAATCGCTTCTGCTATCTCATACAAACCCCTAATTTTCTCAACCTCTGGGCTGCTGTGAAGGAGCCACATGATTCACACAAACAGTCCCTACAAAGAGACTCAAGGTAAACATCATGTACCCTTGCTTTGTTTTGCTTGTGGTGTTTGCATTAAAGATATAGGAACAGAGTCAGGGGGGGGGGGGAGTCCACAAATTGCATTATATCCCAGAATTCTGAAGGAAGTGTTTATTCTCTACTTTAGAAAAGTCAGCAAGTATCCCTAAAAAGTTTTTTTTAAATTATGTTTACATCAAGGAAGCCTCTATACACACATATAATAATAAATATAATAAATATATATTTTTATCTGCCAAGAAACAAATCAAAGGCACCCTAAAAGCTTTTATCGAATGGAAGTTCATTAAACCCGTTAAGCTGCTTAGATGCTGAAAGGAACCAAGCACAGCTGTGAATACAGCCTGGATAAATAAATATACAATCCCCAGCAGTAGAGTACAAGCATAATCTAGGAATATCAACTTGGTTGAAAAGGTCACTCGTTACAGGCTAGTTTTTCTATCTGAAAAACAGCTAGCTTTTTTATTTGTGGGCGAAATTTCAGAGATTGGTTTTTGTTTGTTATGCGTTCGACTGTTCTATGAAAACCACAATTGCCTTGGAGAGCTAAATCAATATTGTTTGAATACACATTATTTGGGGGAAGAGAAAAAGGGATTTCAAAGGAAAGGATGAGAAGAAAGCAACCTCTTTTTGGGTGGGTCCTTTTTCTCAAGTGTGTTATTTTCCTTGCATTTTAGTTCAAAGATGAATAAATTTATTTGCCACTTATCTCATGGTTCAAAATAGGTATTAAAAATATCTGTTTTGGAAAACTTTTAGGTTTTTTTCCCCCCTGCAGTGTTATGATTTGTTTCCTATCATTTCTTGGCTAGATCCTTTTACTGGCATTATCACACCAATTATATATAACTTCTGAGGGTTATTTTTGCTCTCAAAGGGTAAATAAAAACATAAATGGGGTATCTTTTTAAACAGTGGAGCCTAGTAGGCTAGAAATGCTAAGAACTGCAAAAATCTTTTAGCATACCAGTTTTAGCAAAGACATTAAATGTGGCTTTCACTGAACATATACATGGTTTGCGTGTGAGGCTGGGATGCATTTGTGTAAATATATCCCTACATTTATTTGTGCATAAATAAATCTAACGGGTGGGCACCATAGTTATCCTTCTATAATACAGTATATAATTTAGTGCTTGAAATGGCATGGCTGGAGTCTGGGAGTCGAAGGCCACACATCTTCAAGTTGGTAAGTTTGAGGAACGCTGCTTTATTGATTAAAAACGACGGAGCAGCGAAGGTGGTGGGTCTACAGCCATCCCTCAAGGAGAACGTCCGCCTACAACTTCCCATCCCATAAAAAAAAACAAAAAAAAAAAACCGCCCGGTGCTTATCCCGCGCCTTTTATACTGGCGTCCTCTCCCGCATTTTGGCGGGAACGAGAGCGGCGCCAGCCGATTGGTCAGCCTCTCTTTCCCTTAAATTCCCATTCCCCACCCCTCGCCTCCGAACCAATCGGTTCCCTCCGCCTGTCCTGTGAGAGGGGGGAGGGATTACCCCTCCCGCCGCTCTGGCCTGTCATGGGCAGGCTCCGCCCCCCTCCCCCCTCCCCGCGGGCTCCTCTCCCATCCCGCACGCTCCGGCGCGAGCGAGCGCGCGCGCGTCCCTGAATGACGCGGGCGCGCGCCGCTGTGACTGCCGCTTCTCGCTCGCCCTTCCGTCTCACCCCCCCCCGTGCTCGTGTCCGCCATAAAGGTAGCGAAGGTATCCTGAGGAGATCCTATATCAGCTGCTCGCCTCGTCCACCCCATTGCTAGTTTATTAAGATCTGAGGAATTTGGGGGGATTCCCCCAATCTATTCCTCTCTTTCCTCCTAACCCCCCCCCCCCCCAAAAAATATACAAAAACTTAGGTCAAAAACCTTCCTGGATTCTCCTTTTCTAACTCAGGCTAAGCCTGGTTTGCAGCCCTGAGCATCCAAACTAGGTTTTTTTAAAGATAAGCCATGATGGTCTGGGGGTGCATGGCACTGCCCATCGTGGTTTATAAGTCACAAGGGCAGGTTGGGGTTCAGTTTTGGGGAAGTTGGTCAAAAGAGATGAGGGCAGGCTTAAAGTGGGGTGCAAAGGAGATCCCTTGTCTGGATCTGTTCCTCAGACTCTCGATGCCTCCCTAGAGAGAAATTAGCTATATTCCGCCTCCAGCATCCTCCAGCATCATCAGCATCCTTCGCTTTTTCCTCTCCTCCTCCTTCCCCTCCTTCCTCTTCTCCTTTCTTTCAATTCTTTCCTTCAATTTTTCCAATTTCTTTTTCCCCTTTCCTGCATCTGATCCTGGCGTCCATTTGCCATCCTCGCCATCTTTTGGCCACCCCGAGGGGAAGTCTTCCAGCAAAATCTGATGAAAATAGCTAATTTTCAAAATCTGGGCTGTATTTTAATATTCAAACTTCCTTTCTTTTCTCTTTTGGGAAACAAAATTCTACCTTTATGCCACCCCCTTCCCAAATATTTCTGTTCCCTCAGGACTTCCAGGAAAAACCTGGGTTCATTCTCTCTCCAAAAAACAGGATTTTTATAGGTAGCCATAATTGGATGTTATTTCCTTTCTGGCCTTCAGTTTGTAGCATCCAAGAAAGTTAACCAAAATTTAATTTTTGGATGGGCTCATGACCACCATTTGATTATTATAGAGTACCTCCCCAAACAGATCTATTCCCCCGTGCCCTCTTACGCTCTCTCCTTAATATATATCGCAATTTAAATCCTCACTTTTCTGTCATTTCTGGAGAATCTCTTTCAAGAAGCTTCACTGCTATTTTGAATCACAGAATTCACTGTTCTTTTACCATACTGGTGCCCCCCCCATTGATTGATTGATTTTCATTATTTCTTTAAAACATTTATATAGCTGGTTTTCTTTTCCATTGTTCTTCCCAGTCAGATCAGGATTCCTAGTTACCTCTCTTATCATGATGGCATTTTATTCCTCCCAAAAGAAATGACAATGTCTGTTTCCAACAGAACAATTGCAATAGCTATTTTCATCTTTCTTAAATGTTGCTCTCTCTGGTGCTTTGACCAAATCCTGTTTTTGGAACAAATCTGCACCACTTTTGATCTTCTCTTTGAAGTGCAACTCTTATTGGTGTCTGGAATGAATTTGACAGCTGATGGATGCTCTAGTCTTGAGTTGAAGCCCTTGCTACAAGTAGGCATTTAGCATATGAGTTCTGTAGGCCTGGTTTCCATTTAGCCTATGCAAGAAAATAGAGCATTATTTTCCATTTAATTCCACAATGCAGCATACCATTCAGGGCACATTTTCTGTGTTTTAGGATTCTCCCCCTGAGGAACTCTTGCCTCCTAATCTCTTTACCCCATTGTATATGCAATTTGGTCTTTCTACTATAGCAGTGTTTTTCAATCTTAGCAAGTATGCTGGCTGGGGAATTCTGGGAGTTGAAGTCCACACATCTTAATGTTGCCAAGGTTACCAAACATTGTCTTAAAAGGTTTCCTCACACTCCTTTCACTCTCCCCAACATTTTTTGTTGTGATTTATGATCCAGGACTCAATAAATTTTCTGTTCACTTCTCTCGTTACAGATGTGGGACCAAATAGGGCGGGTTTGCTCTGAGGAAATGCAAGCAAAGAGCAACAATTTCAAACAAAATTGTGATGACAGGTAAGGAAAGAAAATGAACAACCTAAAATCCAACTTCTTCAATGATAATGGTATGGCAATGATAATAACCACTACTATCTGGTTAAACAAAGATTGTTTTAATATAGCCCTAATTTATATATGACATATAGTACATATACGCATCTATCTGAGACTGTCACATTGAATAGAATGAGATGGAAGATACTAAAATTTATTTCAGTGATATTAATGTATTAAATATTAATATTTGACAATTTAATAACCTAATCTAAAGGATGGTGCTAGGTTAATTAGGATGCTAAATTCTGTATTTGGACAATGAGACTAACTATCATCTATTACTTCTGGAGAATAAAAATAGCAAGTACCTACGTATAGAGAGAGGGAATCTATGTATGTATTTGTTAGAAATATCTAACCTTCCTTCTCTCTTTTTAACAGAAGAAAATGCAATAACTACACCAACACACTTAAAGAATTGGCTCAGATGTTACCCATACCACTACGGACCAGTTGTAAGAGGTTGACCAAGGTATTATAATAATAGAATTTATCATAAATGCTCAAGGAATGTGCTATAATTTTGGATCTACACAGACATTGAAATTGGGCCCGGTTGCACAACAGATTTAATGTGTGTGTTTATTTCAAACTGAATACAAATGGCAGATGTTTCTTTTCCTGTTTCTGCTCTTTAATTTTGCATTTTTAATATTCAACCAGAAAGAAATCCTGCTCCGAGTCCTTCGCTACATAGAACATCTGCAGACAAGCATCGATAGAGCCAGGTCACTGCTCCAAGGTCATGGCGAGGAACAAAAAGGTAGGGAAATGCCAGAGTAGAGGCAGAGAACACCCATGGCCAGTCAATACAGAGGATATACCTGAGCAAAAAATATGGTCCATAATTTTTCTTTCATAAAAGCAGCTGGATCTCAGCCGGTGGCAAAACCTGCCCTGAAGAGAGAGCACAGAGAAGTCACACCACGGGCAAAAAATCCCAAGCCCCTGGCTGTCTACAAGAAACCCAGAAAGAGGAGACGGATGCGCAAATCAGGTCTGGAAAGTATTCCACAAGCTTGGGGTTACTACACTTGATGCTTCTGTAGGTTTTTCCTCCTTCCTCTGCATGATCAGCCATTGCAGCACCTTCTTGTTACAGCTCATGCCTCACATCCATTCATGGCTTCAGTAGTTTTCGATATTTCCTTGTTCTCTGTTTCAGGGGTCTCTTACCCTTGGCAACTTTAAGACTTGTGGACTTCAACTCCCAGAATTCCTCATCCAGCCATATCTTAAAGTTGGTAAGGTTGGAGACCCCTACTCTGCTTCAATCTTGGATTGATGCCAGACAGGCAAGCAGTGGGTGTTACGCGATATGCTTGTTGCTTTTGATGGACAGGAGGTACTGTACAATAGTTGCATAGCTCAGCCAAGAAAGAAACTAGATACGTGGGGTTTTGCCCTCCTGGGGAGAATTAAAAAGGGAATTAAAAGATGTGGGAATGGATTGAGCTAAGGAAATTGGCACTGCAGCTGGATAAATTCAGTGCAGAATTTTCTTACGGGAGAAGCATCTTAAGGCTCCTGCTGTAATGAAATAGGTACTGTTAAACCTGAGATTTAGCTCTTCAAACATGCTTGTATCACTTGGTTTGTAGATCGGTGTGGTGGTGTGAACAAGAAAGTGTGCAAGTACCTTGCTCTGGAGGCTGGAAAGGACTCTGCCCATGCTGTCCCACACCTGGAGGAAGAGAGTCTGCCTGATGTGGGAGATGTGTCTTCTATACTTTCATCCTTCCAGAAGCAATCAACTTCCTTTCCCAATTTTAAAGTTCCATTACCAGAGCCTAACCAGCCTGCAAACACTAATCTTCTGGATCTCTCCAAAATTGGAGTCCCATTTGATCATGCAGGTGCAATTTCTTTGTTGCTTTGTTAAAAAAAAATTCAGTGGATAATAAATTGCTCCTTTGTTACAGACAACGTAACTTGAAATATGAGAGAGGTTAATGAGGACTTATTTCCATCAAAGGGAAAAAAATGATTTATTAGGTTGCGCTGGTGTTTGAACATAAGGAATTCTGTTTTACAAGACCAACAATTTGCTTAGTCTGGCATTCTGTTTCCCACAATAACTAATCAGCAGCCATTGGAGGTTTCCAATCCTGACGTTCAGCCCAGGTTCTGGCATTCAGTACTTTACACTGCCATGTCTCTCTAAACAAGTTGCTTCACTCTAATTGCTAACAGACAAGGAGTATATCTTTCCATATGTGTATATAAGCCACTATTGTCTATGTGGCACGGTAGTGAATTCCAAATAATTATGAACTGGGCAGGAAAAAAATATTCTGCTAGTTTCCAATAAGTCATTTTAACAGGGAGGCTTCCTCGCCCACTGAAATATTTTTAGATAGAACTTGACATTAAGATGCAAATATTTTTGGTTGTTTTAAATAGATTTTCTCATTAAACTCGTGGCATGCATTAGTTTAGCAACTTCCTTGCTAGTGTCTGGTAAATCCACTCGTCTGTTAAAAACATTCCATCCTGAACACATTATATTTTTTATTTTCCAGAGTTGTTGTTTCATCTATATTAAATTTTAACTCATGCATGTATACATGAGTATTCCTTCCTTCCTTCCTTCCTTCCTTCCTTCCTTCCTTCCTTCCTTCCTGATTCAGGTCTGGTTTTTATCAATTTTCAGAAAGATGTTCTTAACATGGGGAAAATATTATTCTATTCCAATTTTTCTTGCAATAAAACTTATTTTTATAGCCCACAGAATATAAATTGGGTTCTAAAGAGTTTAATTTTTTCCCCTCTCTCCTTGTAATTGTTACTGACAGGCTGGAATTTTGATGGTGACAAGGAATATAAGGATGAGAATACATTTTCTGTGTATAAAGCACAAATGGCTTACAATAAACTGCATCAATACAGTGGGGGGCCTGGACACACATTAGTGAGGTAGGAATTGAGTGTGGTATTTTCATATTTTGTAAAACTGAATTCCTAAATGGCTATGGGTTTGTATTAGACCATTTTACAAATGTTTTTAAAACAGACAAGGACTTTTTGAAATCAAGCGTGCCATCTCCATTCTAAAGCAGATGAAACAAGGGTCTTTAAGACCTCAGTTGCTCACTTATATTTGTCTCTGTGTTACTGTGTTAATATTATCTAATAATAAGTGTTGTCAGATATGATTAATACAAGTTAGACCTCTTTACCTGCCTGCATTCAAAACAGAGGAAGTTTATTTTGTAATACGGTAGATGGTTTGATAGGAATTAAAGATTGGGGAGGTGAAAAAAGCGTGAGTTAATTGAGACAGCTTTGAGAATGGAACCTCTGCAAACCAAAAGCAGACATTAAAAGATTAATGATATCTTGTCCCCCTAAAACGGACAAAATTCCTTTTCTTATCTCTCTTCATTGTCTTGATAACCATCTCAACTGTTTTCAGACAAGAGCTCGTGCACTATCACTCCTCTTGTGAAGAAGAGGAGGAAGAAGGACCCAGAGCCAGTCCTTGGCTCTCCATCCAATCCCCTTTGAAGTTCTCCAATGGTAAGTGGCTGCCCGAAAATATGCAGACACGCTCAAAAAAAGGGGCATTGCTGAAGAGTCATCAAGGCAACAAGTTTAGCAAGAGTGAAACTCTATGAAATTTGGTATGTTTTATTGGTTAAGAGGCTTGCTAAATGCTAGCGAGAGGTACAGGTGCTGTTAATAGGTTTGCTCCTTATCATGTTCAACTGCTTCTAAAGACGAGTATAGGTAGTCCTTGACTTACGATCCCAATTGAGACCAACATTTCAGTTGCTAAATAAGACAGTTGTTAAGTGAGTCTCCTCTGATTTATGACTTTTTGCTATTTTTGTCATTAAGCGAATCCAAATCCCCCCATTGACTTGGCTTGTCAGAAGCTAACTAGAAAAGTCACAAGTGGTGGTCATAAGACCCTGGGATTCTGCAATCGTTATAAATACATGCCGGGTTGCCAAGTGTCCAAATTTGACAGTGGGGGTGCTGCAGTGGTTCTAGAGGCCTTGTCCAAAGTCACTTTTTTCAGCGCTGTTATAAGTTTCAGCCGTTGCTAAACAAAAGTTGTAAGCGGAGGACTACCTGTACGTTGAAATAAACAATATCCTATAAATTTGATATTGCAGTGGGAAGCGTGCAGCTGTCTTCCCCTGGGATTGGAACCCGAAGCCACAGCTGTTCTGATTTGGGGTTGAGCCCTTCGCTTTTCTCCTCTCCTGCTCGGCTGCTTCCCCCGCACATCCTCCAAGGTGTTCCGGAGGAGCTTTCTCCAGGTAAATGGACAGCAAGGAGGGAGGGAATCCTTACCTTGGGTGAGATCAGTTGGATAGGCAGCCTTGTTTTTTCTTCTTCCAAAAGCTTATCGTGTTTCTTACCAAAAAGGGGATTTACCCACAAAGGCCCATTTCCTTCTGAGTTAATTTGCTCTCCTCTGTAAATATGAGCAGAACAAGTGGATTTGGAAAGATTTTCCAGGAAGTGGAATATTTTAAAACTGTCAACATTATTGGGCTGTTACAGACAACAATTTCTGTGGGAACTAAACACTTGAGCATCCGAAGATTTTATGAATCACTGGAAGCAGATATCTGCAATGTCGCACTGTGATTGTTTTAAGGAGGAGTGCTACCCTCCAGTAAATGTGGCATGTGGACAAGATGGAAGCTTGCTTCTCTGGAACCTTCTCTTAAAATGGGGCGGGGGGAGCAGATGGCCTTTAAAACACTTTTCAAATAATATTTTGCTTCTTTGCAGTATTATTCGAAGATGCGTGTTTGTCTCCTCAGTGCAGCAGTTTTTCGCACACCCCTGCTGGAACGCTGTTGAGAAAGGTAAGGACTTTGCTACTCAGCTTCATATATTATATTCTTTTTTCATCTTCTATTCATCTATTTCAGCTGGCGAAGTCTGAATTCTAGCCTTTCCCCACCTGGTGTTTTCCAGAAGCTTGGAACTACAAATCCCATCACGTAGCATGATATGTAGTTCCTGGTATTTGTGTTATTTCTTTATTTGCTAGGTTTATATCTTCTCTTTCGTGGAAAAGGTCAGGGCAGTGAAGAGGTAATCCTCGACTTGCAAACATTCAGTGACTGTTCAAAGTTACAACACCACTGAAAAAAGTGACTTAGCACCTTTTTTCACACTTACGACCGTTGCAGCATTCACATGGTCATGTGATCAAATTTTGGATGCTTGGCAACTGACAGGGAAAGCTGCATTTGCTTAACAACCATGCGATTCACTTAACAACCCAGTGATTCTCTTAACTGTAGCAGTTTGAAGAAGCGACCATTGCTTTTCCCGTGCATAATCCCGAGGCTTTGGGGTTCAGTTGTGGTTGTAAGTCGAGGACTACCTGTACATGGTGTTCTTGCCTCCTGTTTTCCCCCACCACAATCACTGTGAAGCAGATTGGGTTGAGAGGGGGTGACTGATGTCCATGAAGATTCTCAATCATTCACACGGTCATTAAATGAGGCTTCCCTGGTGTTCCTGTACAGTGATCTTAATCTTCCTAAGATTATGATGCAAGAGCAGCATAAAATCTTCCTGAGGATTGATGCAGGAGCATTATCCACCTAGGAGGAAGGATTTAGGGCTCTTTAACAACTCTCTGCCTACTCGTCTAACAAGCCTATTCAGATTAGGTGAGAAAGGAAACCACCCTGGAGGACATATTTGGGGTTCCCCTAACCAACTTGCTCAGACTCCAGAAACTACTTGGATAAGCAGTGAAACGTTTCAAACTAACAAGTCCAGCGGCCGTGACTCAACTTCCAGTGAACTTCTGCAGCTGAGACTCTGGGCTTCCACTCGGGGAATCCTGGCTTCTGGTCTGACCCTTTAACTCTCCCCATCCTGGCTCTCTCTGTATTGTTGTCCCAGATACAAATAGCCACGATTGCAAAAGGCAGCCTGGTCTGTTGTGTGTCCTTTTTACTTCTCTCCATCTGAGGTGGTTCTCACACACTTGCCCTTTGTAACTGATTGTGATATCAAAGGTTGGCTTGGGGATGTTAATGAATAACTGTGCAGCACGGCTTCCTATTGTTAGCTCACCAGGGATATTTTTCAGTGGAGACTGGTTAACATACTTGACTTGAGACTAATTGCATACACTTCTTTATATTTGTCTAGCGAAATATTTTTATGCAGTATGTGCAGTTGCCTGAAAAGCAGACTGAGACACCAAGAATGGCTTAAGGGTGGAGCAGAGGTTTTGTATTCAGAAGATCATCCATGTCCTTGTAACCTTGAGCTACAATGTAGAGTAGCTAATAATTATCTGAAGATCTTGGAGAGCTCGGTCGCAGTGAATGGCATTGGATTATATCTGGAATATGCAGTTTCTTTTCGACTAAGGGCCATACTTTGCATCCGAATTGTGTGCCAGAGACACACTCTCAACAGGGTAAAGAAGTGAGAAGACATAGGAGTAAATTATTCTAGAACAGGAAAGAAAAATTAAACAGTTACTATGACATTTCAGTAACAATTTTTAAAGTGTCTTTGGGAGCCGTGTGCTTTTCTTAAGATCTACAATGTGTAATATCTTGGTCAACATGCAGTTTCTTCAATGGTCAAGCTCCTTGACTCTTGCCGTGCCCAACTGCAGGCTTATTTATTTTTATTTGAATAGCCTTTCTAAGTTTCAGTAAGCAACTCTTCGAGATGAAGACACTATCCCAGTTGTTAACCACTCTGCAGATCATGCACCGCTAAAATGATCCAAGACTAACTTCAGTTTGAATGATAAGGAAACAAGATTGAATGGTATCTTAGACAGGGTTTTGTGTTGGTGACTGTGATATACCTGCATATAAAATCTTATATTTGAAGCCCGTTCTTCTTTTCCGTCCTTCTTTCCTTCCCCTGTCTTCATTCCTTCCACTCACAGCGGCCTCCCTCTGATTTCTTCCTTCCTCTCTTGCAGTCAGCGTTCACGCTGGATCACTGTTACCTTTCCTACAGCGAAGCAGGTAAAACCGAGTCCAGCCCCATGTCAAGAGTGAATGAAATATTATCCTCGTGGAGCGAACAAATCCAAGAGGTGGGGAATGGATTGTGAGGAATGGAACTGGTAATTTGTTAGCCAGAGAAATCAGGCCATGGACTTGTCTAATGTCCTTATTGAGGCCTATCTTTAAATGATATACTTTTCTGTCCAAGAGGTATCATTGTCACCACTCTATTGCTGTGGCTTTAGAACAAAACTGAAGAAATTAATTGAGAATCTATTAATGCTGCAGCTGTAAATCAGTTGTACATTGCTTGAAGGGTCAGAGGCAGCATCCGGTGGTTGGAAACAATAGAAGTTGTCATTGTTCAGTCTTTTGATCACTTTTGACTCTTCCTGACCCGATGGACATAAAGTTTGTGTCATTTTCTGTCTCATTGGAGACAGGTAGAATTCAGGTGGGCTCACCTTCCTCCCATTTATTTTAGCAAGAGTTTCACAAATCCTACTGAGTCCATTATCAAGCATCCGAATGTAAATCACATGACCATGGAGATGCTGCGACGGTCATAAATGTGAAAAGTGGTCATAAGTCACCTTTTAAAGTGCCGTTGTAACTTCGAAGGGTCAGTAAACAGACTGTTGTAAGTTGAGGAGTATTATATCCTAATTAAGTGATATGTCAGGGAATTGCGCAGCAAGTGTCCCAATGAAGTCAGGCACAGATGCAAACTTGTAGTTTTATATGTGTGAGTGTGTGTGTGTTTGTGTATATGTGTGAGTGTAGTGTAGTATGTGTGTGTGTATGTATAATATACCTCCAAGGTCCCTTCCAACTGTTATTCTATATTCGTGTGTGTGTGTGTGTGTGTGTGTGTGTGTGTATCTCTGTGTGTATGTGTAAAACTATACACACACACATATATATGTGTATATATGTAAAATTATGTATATGTATTATGTGTGTGTGTAAAATTATGCGTGTATATAATATTATATATATGTATGGTATTCAGCTTTGTTTGGGTATTTTCCCACGTCATTATAGTTGTGCTTTTAAAGTTGTAGCAACGTTTCGGCAATATATATATATATGTGTGTGTGTGTGTGTGTGTGTGTTTTCTGAGGTTTTCGCAGGTATTTGTATGTGGATCTTTGGTTATTCGGGTTAACCCGAATAACCAAAGATCCACATACAAATACCCGCGAAAACCTCA